TATCCGTAGTCAGCTATCTCAAACTCTGATTTTGTTCTACAGAAAAGCTACTCGTGGTACATTAATGCTGCTACCAATAATGGGTAGCGCGTGGATCATTGGACCGTTTGCTGTCAGTTCGGATACTGAATTCCTTGATTACGTATTCAACTTGTTAAACGGCTCACAGGGTATCTTCATATTCCTTATCTACTGCGTCTTTGATAATGAGGTAAAATTGACTTTATTTAAATGTTCTCAATTATTTTTAAGTTAGGCGACATTTACAAGTGGAAAGTGTGTCATTAAAATGAGTAACTGTAATAGCATCAGCCATTGTGACTATGCCTTTTTTGACATTATTAATTTTTATTATTATTTATTCAGAAAAAAAAAAGATACAATACAAAGCAATACAATACAATTACGAAGAATCTTAATCTTATGTCCACACTCAAATTCTGTGTTATGTTCCCATATATGAGCATATTACTTGATCACATAAAAGTTGATAGTGTGGACAAAACATTAGTAGACACAACTGCGCGGAAGACACCCTAAAGCTTGGTTTTCATACAATGGCTACATACGCTGTCGCTGACAGCTTTCGGTGACGCTGATTGGTCGATGAAATCAGGTAGCCTTCTCGATTGCGTCTGGCACAGCTGCTACGCAGTACAACGTTTGCACTGAAAACACCGTACCGACAATGTAGCGATTTTATGGAAAACAGGCTCAAGCCATTGTCACAAGATAGGCGTGTACAGTACATTCATGACACAATCAAGGCACAAAAGACAATTTTATTATTGATATTAGTGTTTAAAACCTGCATTAAATAGATTATTCCTACAAAATCTACGTTCGGTATTATGTTACATCCTCATTCTCCTCAACAATTGACATTCTTTTCGTTGTTTCCTTAATTAGTCCTAAAAAAAGTTAAATGCCATATTATAGGCACTTTTGTTAAATTTGGAATGAAAATTTTTCGATAACCTGGCAAGAACCATGTTCGGGAGGGGCAATATTTAACTAACCAATTATTACTGTTTGCATGTGGTATCTGTTGTCTGCTCTGCTGTCCTAAAAAAAAAAAAAAAAGTTGCGAGACTTCAGAGGTTGGTGGCGCTCTTTCAAAATACACCCGATGAAATGGTCTATATCTCTATACGTTAATTAATTGTTTATTTAAACTACAGAGATTTGTATGCTTTATGCATTTTTTTCCTCATAATTTAAGGTTGAAAATTTGATTTCATTTTTACAGACAAATGAGTGTTTTAAAAAACGATTCAAGAAAAACGAAGTAACCCCAGCGACGGAAATGACGCAAAACCAGTGAATATATACACAACTTTTTGGATTGATATTCAGTATACTTAACTTGTAGTAGTTAAAAGCAAATGTAAGATGCACTATATTTTAGATGTGATTAATGCGTCTTAATAAAATTGTATGTGGTAATAATAGTATTTCTAAAATTATCAAAAACACATTTTTATATGTGTCTCATTCGCAGTTTATTGAAAATAAGTATAAAGAAGAGGGTGTATCTTACCGTCTAGTTCATACGACCCTAGTAGTGCTAAGTAGTATTAAGACGTTATTGAGATACCTTGTGTGTTTAAAATTTGTATTTTGAATGGAACTGATGATTAGTGTACTTAGCAATGCCAACTTTATTTGTTTTTGTTACAGTATATATATAATGTCTATAGAGGCTTAACATTTTGAATCAAGATGTAGAAATAACGAAATAGGGCCTGTTTTTGCTGCTTTTCCTAAAAATACGGTATAAAATATACCGTATAAAGTAAATATACCGTATAAAATACGATATCTGAAATCCAGCGTCCAGTTTCTACTAAAAGTACTTCTTGGGTGGTCTTTTTTAATAGGTCCACTTTTATCGAAAATGCCTTTCGTGAGACGGAAGTTTGGATTGACCTGTGTAGTGGGTTTTTTATTTTCTTCTTCTCGATAAACATGGTTCTTTAAAGAACGTTGTAATTTTAGTTTCATCAATTTTATCTATAATTAAAATAGATGAAAATAAAATTCTTTTAGTTTCATCTATTTTATCTATAGTTAAAAGTTTCAATCCCCCAACTTCTCCTACAGAATAGACATTATTGGTGTTATTTAGTATTGGCTAATATCGTTAGTATTTTCAGTCCACATTTCGCATTATTTTTCGCTTTTCCACGACAGAAAAATCAAAACAACCCGCGTTAAGCTCTGACTCTTGACCTCATGTCAGGGGTCGGCACAAAATACGGTATTTTTATTGGCAGCAGAAATAGGGTATGAAAAATACGGTATCTGTTGCAAAATACCGGATCCACAAAAATAATGGGGAAAAATACGGTATAAAAAATATGGTATATTTTTGTGAGCCCCGTTTCTGCTGCAAAAGAAAATACCGTATTTTAAAATACCGTATATATACGGTAATTTTTTGGCAGCAGAAACAGGCCATAGAAAAATGTAGTCAAGAAAAGAAGTACAGTTTGGCGCAAGTGTAAAACTCTCCTTCTATATTAAATACACTGTACGTTAACATTAGTAAATGGTTGTTAATAATTAAAGGAAAGGAAGGAATGCAGTGTAATTGTGAGTACGGTATTCACCATAGAAAAATAATTGAAAAGAGCTATTACAATAAAGGTGGTTTAAATGGTAAGATGCCTTTTGGTATAAATATTCATTTTGGGTACCGTGAGATAATATTATAAGTACAGTAGTAGATATAACGCTTCACAAGTTGACCTAATGTTTGTAGATGAAGAGAATTGTTCATTGTTGTGTTGTATTGGTCGCCAGTACGCATTTGATATTGTTGTTACTGTATTTAATAGGCCAAATATTTACAGTTGAAAGTTAGGCTTTACTAAGAATTGAGATCTTCTTCTTGTCCAGTTTACTCACAAGTTCATGATCCGTAAAGCCAGGGGTAATTTCACTGCTCCCTGGTAGAACAATGTCAAGTTAAATATAAACATTCGACATTACGATTCTCGTGTGTAGTGGTGTGAAATGATTAGAAGAAACAGGGCTGTGAATTACGTTGCTCCGAATTACGTTGGATCATGCGTATCAAATCATCACATTCACCAAGCACTAATCTCTTAATCACCCAAGCAGTCTACTATTATATAACAAACTGTTTATCTAGTGCTTCACCCAGTCATTATTTTTTATCGTTGTCTCTTGAGGAAGTCCTGAGTACAGGACGAAATATTCACGTCAAATAAAATAATGTTCCTGTAATACGTCAACTGTGTATAATTTTTTTATCGTATCAATGTCTATATTTACTTATATATAAGTGTATATATATATATATATATATATA